GCTAGAAACATGTTAGCAGTAAGTGGGGACGTGTCACTCGCGGAAGTGCGAGCTAGAACATGGGTAATGGCTTCAAGTTCGCGCTGTACAATTTGGGTCACCTGATCCGATTAAACTGGAGGTGGCGGCTGTGTTCTTGCACGGTCTTCGCAAGACGACGTTGCAGCCATATTCGGAAGATGGGAAAACACGCTGTCAATCCGCCGGCTCTTCGCTAGCTCAAAGCGCCGGCAATTCTTTATAATAGCGTCCACTGTAGAATAATTTTTGCAGATGAGGAGGTTGAATACGTTGTCCGCAAACCCCTTAAGAATATGTCCAACCTTGTCAGCCTCCGCCATCTAGGCATTGGCTTTGCGATACAATGCTAACACATCTTCAATATACGAGACGTACGACTCCTTCGAGGTCTGCGCCCGAGACGCGAGCATTTTGTTCGCGGTTATTTTTCTTCCAATAGGCTCCCCGAACAGGTCCAACATTTTCTCTCTGCACATTGCCCAACTCCCAAGTTCTGCTTCATGGTTCTCGTACCACAATTTGGCGGTTCCTCTAAGATAATTGATTGATTGATATATGAGGATTAAACGTCCCAAAACCACCATAAGATTCTGAGAGACGCCAAAGTGAAGGGCTCCGGAAATTCTGACCAACTGGAGTTCTTTAACATGCACCCTAATCTGAGCACACGGGCCTACAGCATATCCGGCTCCATCGGAAATGCAGCCACCACAGCCGGGATTCAAGCCCGCAACCTGCGGGTCAGCAGCCGTGTACCTTAGCCACTAGACCACCGCGGCAGGGCAGTTCCCCTAAGATAGAACAACAGTTTCACCAGCATAAAAGTCTTGCCCCATCGGTATCGAGTACTCACACGTTCGTACTCTGCCAGCCAATCTTCAACGTCCACTTCATCTGGATCAACGGAACCGCTAAACGTGCCAGGATCCCGCGCGGGTTCGAGCACGAAGCTTGTGGTCGCAGGAGGAGATGTAGTCGCCGCATCATATCTTGCCGCAGGAACACCAGCAGCAGATGTAGACGCCGTATTTTCCGTCTTCGTTGCAGAATTACTCTTCAAACGACGGCAATATACGACGGCAACAATATACTTGAAGTTGAGTAAGCGCAAGAGTGTTGTGTTTTAGAGTGTGATGGTCTAGTACTCTGGGTCTCAATGTCTTCGAATGCATTACCACGCGGAAAATTGTAAAGAGTTTTTTTTTCCTCTTGGTGACAAAGTGTTGCTGAAGGGAGGTATGACCCCACAACGGCCGTCGCACAAAAGAGAAAACACCCGCCTATGCGAGCGAGGTAACTTTTTAATGCTCGTAACTTTAGGTATCCTTACACCTGGCGGCGACCTTTCGTCCGTACATATGCGTGTGCATTACCTCTGCAACCTTCTTTATGCCGCAGAATTGTGTGTGGAAACAATGTCTCGGTATTCTTTCCGAAGAAAACCTCAGCTGGTCTCCTCATGTCGATAACCTCACAAGACGCATCTCACGTTCAAACGTATTATAAGTATAGCAAAGCAACTTTGGCCCCGGTGGTTAAAAATTCAGCTTTATTACGCACTAATCGATTCTCATTTACAATACTGTCTTCTTTTGTGGGGAAAAACAACAAAAAGTAATCTTAGAAAGTTGCATAATCTACAAAAACGCATTTTGCGAGTTATTGAAAGTGTGCCTTATATAACTCACTCCGCTCCACTTTTTAAAGCAAATACCATATTAACAATGCAACACATACTGGAAAAGAAACTAGGCATTGCAATATTTCAGAAAATAAAGTCATGTTATGACAGCTTTTGATGACAATTCCTGGGAAAGGGACATACTTACGAATCTAGCAAAAATATATATGATGAAGGTTTCGTACGAACAAACTATGGCATGCAAAAACAATCTTACACTATTGCAGATTTCTTAAATCATCATCCTGCTGTTATAAACTTGGTACAGGAAACAATGCACATGAAATGCTTAAAAAAAGTTACTTCATACCTAACCTAAATACAAGAATAATTATGTTTTTTTTTTACCTTGCTGCGGTCCATAATGTACATACACTTGGAAAATTTCTGTTGTATGAGTATATGGAACAATGTATATATCTATAGAATCCTGTATATGTTTTGCCTAACGATGTATAGTATATGTAATCTTTTGTGTGTGTTTTTTTATTATCTAACTGCCACTGATGTTTGAGTTACGTGTCTCTAGGAAGGAGTGTGACACTCAGCCAGGCACTCGTGCCATTTTGTCACACTTCCTAGACAGGGCAAATGGACACATTATATGTTTTTGTCTGAAATAAATGAAATGAAATGAAAAGAATGAAAACGAGTAACGCCCATATCTCCAACATCAAATAGCTCGCAACACCAATACATCTGCGTTTGCTTTTCTCCCCAAGATGCCTTGAACTGCAAAATCTCACAAGTAAACGACAATATGTGATTAGATTTTTCCCACATCTTGGGTGTTTTGCCACACGGCTGTCTGCGAGATTGATAATGCTTCTTCGTTGAAACATTCCTAGTGGTTTTTTCCTGACCTAAATGTTTTCGGCGAGTTCGAGTAAGTTACTGCATGACACTGGGAGGACAAACTATATATCCGAAAACGCTAGAAGGTGCAAAATTAAAGCTTGCGATGAAAAATCCCTGAACAGGAGTTGTATCGCAACGTCGACTCGATACAACCGCTGTTCACGAACTTTTTTAATTATGTGCCAAAATACCTTCGCTATTTTGCCAAGGCAGAAGGAGTGGAAGCCACCCTGCAAGAGAATTGAGAGCGAGTTAGAGGAAGAGAACCACTGCTCACCACCAATCTTCCAAAGCAAAAATGTTATGAATTCATGGAATAACGCCAAATTTTTCAATCAGTGATGTTTTACGCTCCGGGATACCTACGCAAAGTCACGTAGCTCAGCTCTTCTGGGCGCCCCGCCGCGGTGGTCTTGTGGCTAAGGTTGCTGACCCAAAGGTCGCCGGATCGCATCCCGACTGTGGCGGCTGTATTTCTGATTGAGGCGGAAATGTTGTAGGCCCGTGTGCTCAGATTTGGGTGCACGTGAAAGAACCCCAGGTGGTCGAAATCAACAAAGCCCTCCACTGCAGCGTCTCTCATAGTCATATGGTGCTTTTGGGACGTTAAACTCCACATATCATCAATCGGCTCTTCTAGTTGCGTGTCGTCGTCACTTTTGGTTCACCTCTCGGAGCGCTGTTCCATAATCACCTCACCTTTAGGTGGCGCCATGCCAGGGAGGCCAATTAAAACAGTAGTAAAACAAGGAAGGCTTTGAATAATGGAATATTTTAAAAAACAGATAACCATTCAAGTGCGTGAGACATCAATGGGTTTGCTGTATCTTTGAATCTTGTAATGCACTGTCGTAGATAATGTTTCGCGCATAAAGTGCAACTCTTTCTCCCGAGGAAGCTTGTTCGAGTAATTTACCAATGAAGTTGCCAAACTTTAAAAAAAGTCACAACTTTGCCACAAAGGCAGAGCAATGAACGCGATAGCAACAAAATGGAAAGTCACGCGCAGAATGGTAAGGAGATCAAAACGTTTCCCGCCTTTCTAACGCATAAATGACGCACTAAACGTACTCACAGGTACAGATGAATGCGAACAAGCGTCTTAGTTGTTACTTCACCCTGCCTGAAGAGCGTGCCCTTTTCGCAAATGGAGGATGTGCAACAATTGCAGTGACCGTTGTGCGCACGGTAACTACAACAGAATACGTACGAGACGTACAATCTTTCCCACAGCAAGATAAGGGCGCGCGATCGAGCTTACACACTCTTATTCTCAACTCGGGCCAAAGTACGCGTGAGAGATAAGAGCCGCCGCGCGCTCACCCCGTCATCTTGCTGATAATGCTCAAAACACGATATTCCCCTCTCCCCTCCCCCCGATATGCTCGCCAACTGTGGTAAGTGATATATATAAATATCTTGCTGTTCGAATATACGAAAAGTTGCGCTCCTCGGTGGCTCAGTGGTTAACGCCTCGCATTCACGACGTGGAGGTGCCACGTTTGATTCCGCGCACCGAAGTATTTTTGCGTATTTTTACATGTATTTTCATATATATAAATACATATACAGTGCATGACGTCAAAGCCAACGCCGGCAGCAAAATCCAGCTGAGAGTCTCTATATAATTGCTATCGCAATTATACCAAGCAAAATTTGGAATACTTCTGAACGCTGACAAACGCTATGAAGCTGATAATAGCGCATGTTGTGTACTGCACACCTACATGCAGTGGTAGGTCACCCATTAGGTTTTCGAAAGCAGCACTAAGCTACATGACCTGCCTATATTTTCGAACTATACAACAAGCAAATCATCTAAATACTTCAAGTTACGCTTAATTTGAAAAGGCGCGAAGAGCGCAGGTTTATATCTCATGCTTAATAACTGCTGTGGGAACTTGTTTTGCAGATGCTTCGGAAAAGCATTCGTTTTATTTCAACGTTTAGTGTTGTTTCCTTAGGAGGTTACGGCGCAAATGCCAATTATAAATTACTTATGTAGGTGGGACTTTCTCGTGTAGGTGGGACTTTGTCGCGATATATTTTCGTACATCTATAGCGATGATGGCATTCTACTGGTAACCCGAACATCTATGAGATGGGAGTCTCGTACCGACAGGCGGCCAGGATATCCTGCTTATAAGTGCGATTTTGCATTCAAGGCTGGTCCCAATGAAATGGGAACACGATTTGCATAGCACATAATAAGGGCACTGTCTGACAATTCTTTTCACTAATTTCGAGTGGAAGTGCTATTTGTCGCGTCCCCCATGTTTAGTTCTACGCTTTGTTATGTGGACATGTCCCAATAATAAGGCCGAAAATTCACCTTGCTATACCGATGAAAATTTTTTAAGCTTTCTGTAGGAGCATGCAGTATTATACGTCAGTTTGCAGCATATGATTGCTTCTGCTAATATGATCGCTTCTACTACAGGTTGCTGAAAAACGAATTGAACAGTTGTGCCACTCGTTCCAAGATCAACAGCCAGGAGTGCGCCCAGGTCGACGTGAGTGCGATGGAAAAACTGATCCACAATATCATCGGACGCATAGTGCCAGAGTACAACTCCGCCCCCCAAGCCTGTTCGAGCGCAGCAACTCTTTTGTCTACTGTCCTGACTCTGGTCTTGACCAGGTGGAACTAGAGCCCTTTTCTCGTATAAAGGAGTTTGAATCAATTTGTAAACCATCAGTGAGTCTCACCTCCCCATCATGTCACGCTTTTGCTATGCTGTATTACAGAATTCATTTTACCTTCAAATAAAGTTCCTTCATGTGAACGTAGTGACGTTTGTTCGAGCCATATATTGTGGCTGAGGCTTTTCGTGTGCCTAAAAATTTCACTACTGCATTGTTATTGCAGGATAAAGTGAAAAGCTGCTTCTCGGGCGTTTACTTTGTCACGTATGCTATACTGTGAACGTCCTTTGTTCTATTACTATCCTTCGTAAGTAGTCTTACAGAGTGTAGCTGGTATGTGTAAGTTATTGGCATTTATCGCAACCCCTTATAAAGTGTGTGCTTTACAAGTGCCAAGAAATCATTCTTACTGTGTACATTGGAGGATAGTAGTATGGTTTATAGGTGGGTGAGAGGACAACTTACTGACGCGTTCTTTATTTATAACAAGGGTAACGATTGTATATCTAGACCGTCTGTTTGTCTGCTAGATTGCGAGGATAAAGCATTTTATGACGCCACCTAATATTCCTGCGAAGGCATGTGTTGGTTTTCATTTCTTGTATTATGTTATTCAAATTCAGTTGTCACGCAGCGCTCGTAATGTGCTCTTCAAATATTGTGCTTCGTCTTGTGTGCACTCATTTTTTCACAACATGCATAAAGTATAGTGCTTGCAAATTTTGCATTTATAGTTCAACTCAACTTGTGGGCCTTAGTCACAAAAGTTTTTCTCCCACGATGGCCGGGACAGTTAAAAGGAGTGGCAGCTTGTGAGATTAGGCTCTGGTGTAAATAAAGCCAATGTGAATTGAAGTGAGAGGTTTAAGCACCCTTTCCGCAATCTCACAAATAATTATATTTTTAAACTATTTTTAAAACTTACACAAACTAGTGTACGTCCACCTGATGAATGAGTCTTGAACCGGGATTATGGCGTAATTCGCTATGATGTGCATTGTCTGATGCTTTCATGCATACATAATTCAAGCTAAAAACTTAAATTGGTACCATGTACTTTGGAAATTGATGTTATGCGAAGCATGTGGATAGAAGGTGAATTAGTTGTAATTTCTTCATTAAGTGAAACGTTATGAAGTAGTGCCTAAAATACGTTTCGTGGAGCATACGCACGAACGCGTATGCCCCTTCGGAAGAGAACAAAAAGCCCCGTGCTCTGAGTGCACGAGAACCTGGGCCACCTTTGCCAGACTTATCGTACGGGCATTTTTTGTTGCGACCTTGTTGCGACTTCTCTGGTTCCCATACGTAAAAACGCACACACTGATAGGTTAAACAGGCACATATGTTTTATACAACAAGTTGTCTACAGATGCGTAACGATGCCAACAGCAGCAAGGATATTAGCAACACCAGAAGCGGTAAGCTGATATGAAGCGCTGGTTGTCTTGAAGATAGTAGGCCTGGACACTGCCACATAAATGAACTTTACACGATGGCGCCTAGTGACAACTGACGTTCACCCGACGTGACGGCTGTATTATAGGACATGGCTGGTCTTCAGGTGCGTGCTCCTTGCGGCCGGAGCAAGGGGGGCTGCTTCTAAATATCGCCGCTATCTCGCGGGTGCTGTCCGAGCCAACCAGCCGCAGCTTGCTGTAGAGTTCCTCGATGCACGTGCCCCCCTCCACCACCTTGAAGAGTGAAGAAAACAGCATCGTCTGCTGCAGCATCCGCCATTACGATGCCCTCTCCGCAAGCCGCAAATAGCCACCATGGGCAGCCAACGAGTGTCATGCGGCTGCATACAGTTCGTTGAGTCAAAAAGTGTCAAAACGTGTTAAGTCAAAACGTGTTGAATCAAAACTAAAAACAAACATACAATAAACGTAATGTTTCGCATCGAGAGGGTGAAAGTCTCAAACTTCTATTCTTTGATCTGTATTTTTAAAGCGAAATGAGCAGCCAGAGTTGCTTGCAGCTAAAACCTACTGCTTAGCCAGCCCTGTCGACACCTTCAACTAGTCGGTAACTACTTATTTAAGTTTGGGAAGTGGAACACATGCACTCAAGCCCCATTACCTTTCACTGTGTGTTTTGTGTTGCGTGTCTTCCACAAAAGTTCAAAACAGTTGTCTAGCTGGCTGAAAAAAATAAACAAAAGCTGCATGCTGTCGTGAGAAAAGATAAAAACTGCGATTCCGTACCATATCTCCATATCTTGTTTTCAAATAATTCATCAGCAACCTCATTTACAGTCCCCACCAGGCAAGGAAGAGTGTTTTGAATTTGGTTTTCATCTATGTTACTTTACTACAAACAGCAGATTAGCTAAAAATAGTTGAAAACCTATCTCTCTCTTTGGTGTTCTATATGTGGGTTTAATGACAATAAATTCTGAGTCGCACGCAGACATTGACTAACAAACCAGGTTTACCGTATTTTTTGTAGGAATATATTAGAAGTATATTGTATATTAATAAATGTTATACAGCGTTCATCGATATCGTTAAAACGAAATTACCGTACGACTTTCGAACAATGAGAAAGCAAATTACATTCATTATGTGGCAATTTCGGGGCCACAGATTTATTTGCACGATAATTTCAGTATACTTCTACAACAAGCGCTACACCTCACTGCCAGTAAACCACAGTGTCTTTACAGGGCAGCCGGCGATTCGCCGGTCAAAGCGCGTTTGGCCTTGCCAACCATGCCGGCAGGTTGTGCAGGGGATCCCAACGGGTTAATAAGAAACAGATGAAAGAGTGTCAATTTCTTTCTAATATTGACATTGAGAACATATTTTTGACAATGAACTGACAAGATGCGTGCCTTCAATATGATGTTACACAAATAAATAGTTGAAGGCACCGGTACGAACTAGTCCGCAGCGTAGGGGCACATCTTCGTCTAATTGCACCTCGTGTACAACAAGCGAATAAAAATGATGCTCTTTGTGCTATACAAATTGAACGACTTAATTATGCATGCACACAGCATGCAAATGAACATGTATCGGCCCCGGTGCACTGGTAATCACTGTTAAGGCCGATCGAAAACTAATTTCTAAATAGTGATTGGCGTCCTTCTGCTGCTTGCGTAAAAGAGTCAATCACATCAGGCTCGATCGTGATCATAAGTGTCCGCGTGACAGTGCTTTAAGTTATAACTCTTGAATTGTTCAAATGACATAACTTACGCTGCACAAACAAGAATGGTTCGTGGGTTGCCACTTGTCGCGATTTAACTTTACCAGCCCAGGTCTCCGTGTTTTCCTATATTAATGAATGCCTATGAAGTGAATAATCCTTCTATAAACGAGATGTCCAATGAACTTCGTTATTTTATCTATCATCACCTCTTTCCATGAGCCACCCCCCATCGCATAGGTTGCCGTTTCATTATATGCATCGAAGCATATTTCTTTGCATTTTTGCGCATATTGTACTTAAAAAAAGACAATATCGCAAGCAGTTCTAAAAAGTTTCGCACGGCTCCAGTCAGGGCCAAGATGTGCTCCGGGGGCCTCCTGGTTGTTAGGAGAAGGTCTGCAGCTGGCGCCAGTGCACCACGCGCCAGCAAGGTGTGGTCCTTGCACGTAATCAGAGTAGCTTTAAGATGGTGCACAAAGGTCAAGAGCTATACGTACTTGCGGCTGAGGAGACAACTTGAGGATTTAAACAAAACAAAATCATGAATGGCTGTGGATGTCTCAGGCTGACGCGAAACAACGTAGCCATAAAACTTGAAGCCGAGGTGCTGTCACCCTCGAACTCTAAGCTTTCCCTCACTCAATTCAGGTGAAATTGCAAGACAGTTTCGAGCAGCGCATCTGTTTCGCAGCACTGGTGCGTACCCATGTTCGCGGAACGACGACGCCATAAGAGCGACTAGTGACACTAGATGCAACCCTGTGTCTGATATAACGTTGAAATCAAAACAAAAGCTGCTGGAAACTGTCAGAGAAGACAGCCTCGACCCTTTAAAATGCGGCGGACCTTCGCGAATATTTTTGTTGAACAAATATCCCTTATATTCTAGGAACAGCTCTCTATTGAATAGCTGGCATAAACGTCTGACAATAATTACGGTTCATCATCGTGAAATTCCGAAGCTGACACTGTTATGGCATATTTGGCTTGCAAAAGTTATTTTCATTACAGAACTTCGATGTTACTGTGGCATAATCAGGAGCGGCGCGCACTTTTGTAAAGTTCGCCAGGCTCCTTCACTTTTCCAACAATACATGCTCGCTCAATGGTCGGTCAAAACTGTTATGTTACCAAAACGGGCAAATTCATATTGGTTCTAGAAGTTGAGTGGCTGGAATAACTACTAGAGAATGCTCGGTGCACGAAAAAGAAATATAACATGCCAATATCGATCATCTAAAAGCGTCGAACACCGGTATGGATATGAATAGGCGTGGTAACGAAAGAGTTAAACAGTGACTCTCCCTGCAAGGCCCAGTCACTCTGCTCTCCCGAGGTTCTCGAGAGAGCAGAACTTTGTTAGGGCGCCGGAGCAAGAATGGCGTCATAATAAAGCATTTTTTCTCTAGCCTAAAGAAATGAATAAAGTCATGTGCATTCCAATTTTTGCGCAAGTGCCTCAGAGCTTCGCAATTAGAAGGCTCAGCCACACGATTCATCACCGACGAGAGGAAGAAATGACAGAAAACTGTCGAATAATTAACTGATTGTGTCGAAATAATTAACGTGCATGGTTTGTTTGCGTGCATTCTCTGGATTTCTGTTCGATTTCTCTTTTGGCATGCTCGAGATCTTTGGCCCTGTCTTTTCGGCTTGCTTAAAGCAGCAGAGTTTCGAGCTGTTGATTGTTTTGCGAGTTTATTGTTCAGGGGACGGTTACAACGGGTATTCTTGAAATATTCGTTGCCGCCACACAGGAAGTAAATTTTAAATTCTTATGCACTTCTTAGACGAGCTGTGTCAGGCGTCCGTCGGGATCCGTCCAACAGCCTCCCCACAGCAACAGCTGCGGGCGCGCGCGTCCCTGGTGACCGGAGCCTCCACCATGTCACGCTTCGGCGTCAGCAGCTGTCAGCAACAGCTGTGGGTGCGCGCGCTTATTAAACCATGCACGCTAGCTACTATACTCGGCGACAACT